TATCTGTGTAACTAAACTCGAAGTTTAATAAACAAAAAACTACTACGCTTTAATATTTTTGTGTACACAACTATTGAAGTTTATTTTGGCTTGAGTGAGCAATAATTTCATCCATATTACATAATATATTTCGTTTTAATATATTATAACAGAAATATAAATGTTGTGTTTACATGTATTATCGAGAGGTAAATGATGCGACGTTTACATTTATGTATAAAGTTATTGTGCATATTGTGAATATTTAAAATATTTCTTTTAAAAATTCGTTGACTTGGAATCATAAATTATATGAAATAATATAAAGTATAACAAAATTATTTGCTTAATAGCGCCAAATATCTTTATAAAAAAGTTAAAAATACAATTATTATTATTTAACGACTTTTCTATAATTGATGGTCAACCGTATTTGATTTTTTTAATTAAATTTAGTTAGAAACTGCTGTAATATATGAATTTATCATCTGTATTTATATTTTATTGACTAACTTCAAATAAATATGAAATGCGTCGTTATTCAAAATATAAGTGCTTAAAGCAAAATTAAAAAGTTTTTATTACAAAGTTAATAATAATAGAAATAAAAGTATTATGCCTAATGTACTTTACAACTTAAAATTATATTGTAGCTATCAGCTTATTGTTCGAAGTATTTGCTAAGTTAAGTTATAGTTAGATATCTAGAGCTAATTTACAATAATAAGCCGACAAATAATCGTATCTGGCCTAACGAGAGAGTAAACATTCTCCGATACACTCACTCACGCACTTCCATACGTATCTTAAAAGTATTATCTTGTACGAAGGACGCAGTCCAAGAACCATAAGCTCATTGGATACATTCTCATTCGCAAGATATTTACAATGCTATATTAAATAAGCAACTGCATCCTTTTTCAACTAGGTAAGTATAAATATGACATTCAAAATAGCCTTGAGTTGGCGAGTAAGTGTTTTTAAAATGTTGGCTCGCTTAATCTATTTTATGTATTTAAAATACGTTCTACAACGTTTAATAATCCAAACACTTAGCAATAAATAAAAATATAACGCCCAAGTGTAGGGATTACAATATCAATTATAATAACTACGTTAGATTGGTGTCACGAAATTTCTAGAATGATTTAATAATGAATTATTTAAAGCACCACCCACTCAGTTAGTTTGTAAATATTTTAATCATCAATCGGATAATAATTCAGAGACAAAATACCAATAATCCGTCCGGCATGGTATCTTGATAATTAAAAGTTATAATGGAAAGTTATTGTAGTCGGTAAATGTAATTACTAAACTACGACCAATGCCACCTCTGTAAAATATATTTCATTCATATTTATTAGGCTCCGTGGACGTTTGGAATGAAAAATTTTCCAACAGCCCGCCAATCTCGCTCTGTTTACAATAAAAAAGCCAATTAACATAGGGTGATCTCGATCGCATTCCACGCGCAATCCACGCCTTGAATTGATTGCTACTTTTCACTCTCACCTCAGCCAGCCCTCCCCCAACCCAACCCAACCCATTCGTCATCAATATTTCACTCAACCGGCGAAGAAAAAAGCGCGCCTCGTAAAAAACGATGCTCCACCACACTCGCGTGCAAGTGTCAGAGGGGCGGAGGAGCAGGAGGTAGGGAGCGCGAGGCGCTGGTCCGCCTCGAAAAGCCGCATGCGCGCATTCGACTGGTCGTCCCCTCGTGGTCGATATGCCACCCCGCGTCCTGGACTCACCTGACGATAATGCGCCTCCACCCCTCGATTAAGAAGTTCACGAGTGCACAGCATCCGCGCTCGAGTCCTTCTTAACATATTTATCCCCTGCTGTTGGGATATTAAACTCTCGGGATGTTCCGTAACGGAAGTCGTCCCGTTTATTTACGAGACCGTTCGTTGTCGTACAAATCGTTCGCAAGTTGCGGGAATGGAAGATTGCGGGATCGCACGCGCACCTTCTATGCATCTCGTACGCTCCTGCGCGTACAAGAGAATTCGAATGACAATATTTTTGCTATAGAACGTACAGCTTCTCCCGATGCGCGTGTAGCGACAAAAATATTTGATGAAATAATATTTCAGCTCATTAATATTATACTCTAGTCGCGTCTAGTTACGTAAATAATCGCCTTAGCTCTTCCCACGAAGTTTCCGAGACTTGGTTAAAGAGACACCACGTACTGCTGCTTCATTCTTCTCATAAAATTAAAAAAAAAGTGCGTGACCATTAGCGTCGGTAAACCTCGGTGGCTTATGAATCTTTGAAAATAATTTCACTGTCGTAATTGAATTTTTCAGAAACATCTCTTTCTCCCTCGAAAATAATTTGGCGCTTTTGCTGAAAAATTCTTTAAAAAAAAAAAAAAAAAAAAAAAAAAAAAAAAAAAGAGATATCTAATCTAAACCGTAAGTATTACGGGATGCCTTTGTCGCTTTCCTTCTTTTGCCCTTCACTTTTACGAGCCTTAAGTGCTCCATCACTTTTAAAGTCAATTTTCATTGCTGATCTTTCTTGGAATTACAGGCCTTTCATCTGAACTTCAATTGCATTAGTTTTAGAATTTTATTTAATGCTAATTCAATGCTGGATTTCAATTGAAATATCCCAATTTTTCAATGAATAGATATTTTATTTGATATTCAAATATCATTCGTGTAAAAAATAACGATCATCATTGTTTGGCTAATGAAAATTATATGCAATATTGATAAACGATAAATAATGGCTTAGTGCGTAACAATTGAAAAATAAATATCAACCATGAAATTGTGTAACACATAAGCTTGTCATTTTTAAACTTTAAATGATAAACAATCGCCTTCCTACAAATAACCGACAGCCTTATGTTGTGATAAAAACAATTTCCGCCTTATATGAAAAATAATTCGCATCGTCAATTGCATTGTATCCTCGGCAATAGTATTGCCAATATGTTTATTATCATTTAAATTTTTACGTTACATTTGTAATCGATATCTCCGATACAACACAGATTACACTTTTAACGAATTAAAGTGGATTAACCTAAATTTGTATTAATAATTTTAAAAAAAATCCATTGTTAAAAAATTATTATCAAATAGTATATTGAATTATTAAACAATAATTTATTTAAATGGAAATTAATCCAAGTGATTCAAGAGCTCCATTACATAATTTTATTGCGTGGAGAAAAAATAGAGAAAAATTAAATTTTCATGGTTAATGAATACGAGTCTAATTTAATGAAAAGTCATATTATGCAGATGACGCAGTGGCTCGTTTTATACAATTAAACTCATGAGAATTGAAATATTAATTCTTTATTCCTATTCATCTATCTAAACTACAACATTTGTCTTCTTTTTTTTTCTTTTTTTTTTTTAATTTTTGAATCGAAATATTCGATGCATCATTTCTTAAAACATCGACATACCAATTTGTTCAGAAAAATGAAATATTTATATGTGTGATCAATTTTTATAAAATCCAAATTTTCTTAGCTTATTACTAAAAGAACATTAGAACATTGATCGACTTACATGGAATTAACAATAAATATTAATGTATTTATCTAAAGGTATTGCTAATTAAGAGCTTATTAAAATTAAACATTTTATTTCATTTTTAGAAAAATTAATGTAAAAAATGGTGATTAAATTTTGAGATATAATGTACTGATCTTATAGCGTATTTTAGTAAATGATCAACATAAAAACGTTTATTATCCGCAGCACTTATCATTACGTAAATAATTGCAGTTTGCTTAATTCGATCAAATTTATTTCTATATTAATATTTTTCCAACACTTGTAATGGGAAATAGATGCTATCGAAAGTCAATTACATGTAGAAAAGATGTGTTGAAAGGTATAAGTAAAAAGTAAAAAGACGATTTTATACTCGGATGGCGTTCCTGTAACGCAACCAACCAAGATCACATATAAAAGGCATGGCTCTCTTTAATTATATTATGATGATGGGCATATGGACATGAGGGAGAGCGAGAATGGCGAGAATGCGTGAGAGAAAGAAAATAGGCTTAATGACATTTGCGGGTAGTACAAAAACAGATGAATAGAAGTAGCGATTTAAATATAGCATTGATTTACCGTATATCAATTTGCATTCTATTTATATTGCAAATAAAGTAACAACATTTATTCTCGAAAAGAAAATAGTTATCTATTATCTTAACCTAGATAATCGCTTTATATTCTTGCACGTTAGTTCACACATTCGCGCACATATATTGAAATTTATTTATATATCTCGCACCTTCATATTTGCATATATCACAGATGACTAGCAAATTAATTATGAAGATGAGGCCTATAAGCTGTAAATTACATTAACATAAAGAGGTAGAAATGGAAATTCAACTTTTGTCTAATGAATCTATTTTACAGAATATTCGCAATCTTATAAATCTATATTTATATAATAGTTTTATTGTAAAAACCATATATATATATAGATGTATCATAAAATAATCTCAATGTGAATAAAATCGTATCGTGTAAGCATAACTTTACCGTCAACTCAATTATTCGTTAGTCCCTTAAAAACTATGAAAATAATTTACATAAACAATAAATTACCATTATTCTATTGAATCGCATATTATGTAATTCCGAAGAGAAAAGTCTCCGAATTACTGGATTTTATTTATAAACGTATATGAATTATGATGTATTAATAAAGTTTGAAATAAACATTTCAAACATACAATAAATATTATAATCGAAAATTTGAGGTATACGTTTATAAAATAAATGTCTGTACTTAAATTATTTTTTATTATCTAAACAGCTTTTTTTACAAATTACTAAATATAACGCTTAGATTCGATATATATAATATATACATATATATATATATATATATATATATATATATATATATATTTACTGTTACATTTTAATTTAAGAGGTAATTGTTGAAATTCACGTAATACATATATATATATATATATATATATAATACAATGAGAAAACTAAAAATTAAATCAATAACCTATCTGTCATTTATTGAAATAATACGAAATCCTTAGATTCGAGGAAAAGTAAGCTGTACAAAAGAAAAATAAATATTGGATATTTAAACAGTGAGAAAACACTTCTCATCGCTACGGTGAAAATTTAATTAATGCTTGCCTGCATTTTAATTTGCTTAACAAAACAAATATACGTTATTACACAGCTAAATATGGAGGGGCTTTAAAAGCAAACAAGATCGCGTGCCCGTCGCGGCACTTAATCACCAGAGCGCAAATCTTTGCGACACTTTGATGCTTGATTATTGCGCATTAGGTCGTTATCAATCAGTCCCTTCGAATTTGCGGGCACTTTGATTAATCCGCGGGCACGGGTTTTTCCACACCGACATGGCAACGACACACCGCTGTTCTTTTATTTCGGCAAGCTTACTTCATCATTGCACGTGAAACCTTTTTTCCAATATTTTATATGCTAACTCCGTCACGAGGTCAAGCTCACTTTACCCATTCGCGTATCATGAAATTTTACAATTAAAAAACAAAAAAAAAAACAAAAAAAAAACAAAACAAACAAATAAATAAATACTTTAACTGATTTAACAATTACAGTACTCTATCTCTTGTCACATAAATTAAATAAATAAATTTATATCTCTTCCATTAAGAAATAGAAAATGTGAGGTTCATTAATATGTATCGAATGAAAATGAAAATATTGGTCACTTAAATTTAACTGCATTACGTATTATTGCCATCCAATGGTTCAATTTATCTCTTAAACTTCCTGGCTCAACATTGTCCGATTGGGAATTTGAAACGATGTTCTCTAAAATTAGAAAATGTTTAGAAATTATTATATCAAAATTATATTTATACATATGTATACATATATGCTGAAATTGTCAGATGCATTGGGTTCTTTCGAGACTATAAACATAATTAGTTCAATGGTACATCCCTATAAAAATTTAGTTGAAAAATATAATATATTATTAAAAACTACAACAATAATTATAATACATATTTATATAATTTAAGAATTAGTTAAATATAATAGTACAGAAAGTATCAACATTATCAAATTTAACAGACTAAATAATATTTCAATAACATGCATTAAACTTTTATTAAACAACGATAACACTTAATTATTAAACAGTTACATAATTATGGATTAGCACAAGTAAAACTTGCTTACACATGCAAAGGAAAAGGTATCTAGGACATGTACATGCATAAAAGTCAGTTTACAGTCTTATATTATTATCATGCAGAATAAAAACTAAATCTGGGACCACAAGTACAAGTGAAAAAATCGGTTACATTAAGTATTATTTTTATCATGCAAAACAAAAACCACATGCAGCCCTCAGAGAACAACAAATAGAGAGGAATTTCTTCATATCCTAAAATGCCGAAAGCTCGACTTGAAGTCGTCGTCTTTGCGACCTCGATCACGAACTCTATCATCGCTTCTGACGCGCGTCTTTCCTTTACTTTTGTGTCTTTTACCGGATTCAGGACGATTCTCTTTGTCGACGTCGTCCATTCTTAGTGTCGAGCTCGTTGTTGCCCAAAGGGTGATTCCACTGTCCTCCCACACTTTGTTTGACTTTTCATCCGTCCTTTTAATATTTTCATTCTCGTAAGTTAATTTCCGAGGCTTCAAACCCTCTCTTCGAATCTGAGATTTCTTGACCTTCTTTGGCGCTTGTGGCGTATGAAGCGTACGTTTCTTCACCAATGGCGTCCTCACATTCCCCTAGACAAGAAACGCGCGTTTGAGGTTAGGATACATTATAAGAGACACAATCACAAATTATACACTTGGATCGCTGGCCGGTAGTTTATTACGAACGCAAAGTCAAAATAACGCCTTATTGTATCACGGTACGCCATGAATAATCACGAATCATAAATATTACAAGGAAATCGGCATACAGAGCGATCGTAAACACACGAAAATTCCACAGTGAAAAGTCGCCGACTTATAAGGCAGTAGATTAATAGAATCACGAAATATTTACGCATCCAACTCACCGGAACATCGAAAATTCTTTCGATCTTCTGCAATGATACATCAACGAGTTGATTCCAATTTTCCATCTCAGAAAAGTTTTTCTCGATCTAAAAGTCACGGACTTTGGGGCTTACGACGGCTGAGTACTAAAAGGTCATGAGCGCGCCGTACATAAGTGAGAAGATCGAATTTTTTTTTTAATGGAGCTCACGTCTGACGGCACACGATCGAAAAATTTTACGCGCAGACGCTAGGAATTTTCCGGCAGATTTTTTACGACTGCATAACAATTCACAACCGGTAATGCCGGCTGTCGGTATGCGCGCGCGCTCGCTCGCTCGCGCGGGCACACACACCTGCAAAGACGCTGTTGGCCACGCGTCGCGCTTGTCGCGAAGGTTAGTTCAACCACTCGAGTCAAATGACGAATGGATTACGCATCGAGCGCTTTAATACAGTTCTGCCAAGAAATCGAGGAATTTCGGTATTTTTAATGGTAACGCATCTCGTCCCGCCCCCTCCTGACCACCACCGTCGTAGCCGCACTAGCCAGAGACAATAATAGTTAATTAAGGTCAACTCTCGCTTAGCACTTTAAACGAGATTTCTCTTGTACCTCCCGCCCCTCCTGACCCTCGCCAAACCCAACCAAGGAACGGATGAGCTTTTTTCAATGTGCGTGATCTTATTCAAATGCGCGACTGGTATTAAAAAATCTTCAATCGGCCTAAACGAGCGTTTCCATGTTCAAACGAACTTTTGCCGAACGTTTTTTAAAAATTTAATCCAGTCCAACGTTTGGATTAGAGCTATTTTTAACTATAAACGTCTGCAAATTTTTTACGAGAAATTTTCATCGTAGCTTAGGGCGGAAGTAAGTAAAAAGCCTGTCTGTAACAAAATTACCAGCTTAATAGAATTCCACTTTTTGCGTTATACATATAAATTTTGGTAAATCGCACGCTATCGCACCATCAACTTCAGCACGCTGAAAAGCAATAAATTTCCTCATGTAAATTCCTCGAGGCTTATTTTTTTCTACTCCATCGAGTAATGCCTACGCCTATCTGATTATTTTATTACTTCTATCCACTAATCTTAATAATGTGACAATTATATATACATATCGTATGCCCTAACATTGCTGTAGAATAATATTTGATATGTAATGTAATCGCATCAAGTAGCAATTACTTGAGAAAATGAAAAACAAATTTAGTACTCATTTCGCAATGTAACGTAACTATGATATTCAAATACAGAATATCAGTAATGCGAATTTTTAGAATGGATACTCTTTTTTTTTTTTTTTTTTCTTTTTTTTTTTTTTATTTTTGTCTGTTAGCAACGTTATAATACATATGCCGACAATGCGAAAAATACTACTCTAATCTTCTTCAAATTTGCACTTAAACTTCGGTGCAAGTCGATGTTCGATTTCGTGTGGTTTGACAAAAGATATTCAAAATATTGTTATCAACGATATTATATTCTGAATCATTATACAAATCATCTTATAAACATTTTGTATAAAATATTGATTTCTATTATTATTGCACATTGCACGAGTAAAATATTCAATTACGTATATTGCAGTATCATTATCAGAGTATTTATTACATTTAATGATTGTGGTTAAAACAAAATAAAACAAAAAAACACTGTTTAATTGTTGTTGCCATGCCGTTATCAGTGCTCGAGTATGCTTATTTTTTTTATTGTAAATATAAAATAAACTACTTTTTTCTACAAGTTATGCGATCCGCTAAAATATTTAAAAATAAGAACAAAAAGGAAGAATTAAATTATTCGCGATTTGAAATTTTTGGTCATTTGGCATTTGGAAATAAAGAGCTTTAAAAAAAAAAGTTATTCTTGCTTTAAGTGCAAGTGAATGGAGAATGAAAATTGCTTCGTTTAAATAAAATTCTTTTTATTTTGATTGATATCCATTGGAGTAAGCTAATTAAAGGTAAAGATAAAGGTTAGAGTTGTCACTCGATCGACAATTTACTTCAATATACGATAATAGAAATTAAGGATAAATTCAACTTATCATAAATAGTGTCGGGCGAAAGGATGCGTCAATTTATAATCAATAAAATGCTCGGATTACTCGATTCGAGTATGACAATTCTTCAGCATAATAATTGAACTTTCCTCGAAATATACATCACGCGGTTAATGCTGTGGATATACGATATTTTTTTAAATACCCGACATTAAGTTGCTTATAAAAACGTTATGCATCGAGATTAAAGTTTTGTGCGTTAGAATAGAAAAACTTTGTTTGTAGCTGTAGTAGTGAAGGTGGCCACGAGCTTAGTGATGATACGTGACAACGCATACTTTTACGATCATCTTACGAGTGGATTCGAAGGAAATATCATAAAATACTCTGGCATGCATAAATGTGGATAAATGTAAGTGGAATTTGTTTAATTGAGATAAAAAAAAATCGACGAGAGAATTAATAGTAACCCGAGGCATTGATTGGTGGCAAGACTCGTAGGGTCGACATTCTCTCTCCCCGGCTCAGTCACCGAGACTCCGACAATACGAAGGAAGTAGTCGAGCTTGGACGGTGGTGGCCGAACTCCTGGCCGAGCTCCTGGCCGAGCTCACGCGGTGTTTGCCCGGGTTCGATGAACAGAGACAACAAATTCCCGTTATAAAATTTCAGCGAGCTTTCAAGGAAAATTGCTGTGCCGTCGCGGAAGCGATTCTTCCACGGAGCTTACGATTACCATCGACATACATCGACTGGCCTTGGCAGACGTTCGCCCACTTTCCCGAGAAAGCTTTGTCGGAGCAATCGTCCAAGCATTTACCGCCAAAGACACTTTTTACGTAATGTCGACGTTTGAGTGCGACGAGATGAGTGCGAAAATTACGATCTATTACCGAGGAGACGTGGGTTGGCGAGTGTCGGCGGGAGGGTGGAGAGGGGTGAGAGGTAAAGATAAAAAAAAAATAATAATAAAACGTCGCATTAATTGCCAAGTCGTCCGTTACCGAGGGCTCAAGATACGCGGAACACTATTATTTCGCTATAATCAGCGTTTGTCAAAGTGAAATATCGTTGCACGGAACGACCCGAGTAGGTTGTTAATCGGTGTGTACGTGCGCCAGGGATGCATAAAGCACATGAGGCATTAAAGGGCGCGAATATAGAGCCACGCCAACTAAAGCTAATTCGATTAATGCGCTTTCGTAGCGAGCGCTCGCGATATCAATAATGTCCTCGATGGAATATCTGGCGTATCTTCTTGTTAACGAATTACGTACATGCACCAAGTGGCACAAGATGACACGAGATGGCCGCTTTTTCTTCCTCCGAGTCTTACCTGTGGATATTATACTCGGCCGTTTCAGTCGACTAAGCTTTGTACATCTAATCTCGCTTCTAATCACGAGCTGATTAAAAGTCCAGTTTCGTTAAGTACAACTGCGTCCAAACAAACACAAAGAGAGAGAGAGAGAGAGAGAGAACATTTTTAAGGCTGTCGTTTGCTTTGTAAGGCAGTCTTTATCCGTTTCATCTTGAAATTTATGTCACGACTTTTAGACGTAACTCTTTAATTATTGTATACTGTGCCGTTGCTTAATAATAAATGGGAATTAATCTTTATAGTATAGAGTAGTAAGTACTTTGATAATTGCAAGCTCTCTTAAAAATGACATATTTAAAAGAGGGAATCACTCGCTAAGTGGCTCTTTTTGGTTAACTATTCTTTAATTGTCCGCTCCTTTGGTATTTGGGCTAACCGAAGTGGGTTGAGTCGGGAGTGGGAGAAATAATTTTTGGGCTAAATGCATTGTTCGAAAGCTTAATCTATGATAATCTTACTAGGGACTATGACGACCATAGATCGCTTCTTTTTTTCATGTTTTATTCTTCACTTTTACAAGTGCTTTTGGCATCTCAGACTGTTTTGAAATGTCACGAGATATTTCGTTTAATAAAGTTACTCATTAAAATTTTAATTAAAACGTTCTTTCCGACTGCATGTTAAAAATGTTGCTGCACTGTTATAATTACGGATTTCTCCAGTCTTAATTATCCAAAATAAAATAATTTTCAAATTAAAACATTGGAAGGGTTAACGCGAGAGTCTTACTTCTTATACAGACACACACAATAATTTAATCAAATTATGTATAAGAAATCCAATGTCACGCAACTTTTCCGAACCCCTCCTATCTCGAATATACTGAGAATAATAAATTATTTAAAACGTAGCTTTCGATACGAAGCACATAATGTTCATTCGAATACATGAAATATTAAAATATGTAAAACGACGACGTACGAATGATTGATAAATCTTCTAGGGGAGCATGCGAACGTGTAATGATAATGACGGATAGTGTAAGGTTAAGTCGTAAATACGAAGAGAGATAATGTAAATAGTACGGGAATAAAAAACGAAAGAAAGAAAATACACAATGGATAAATATAGTGAAATAGAGGGCTATAACAATTGTACAATGGTTTAGAGTAAAAATGACTTTGCCCTTCTCCCTACATACACTCGCAGCTATGTTAACAATCGAAATGGTAGAGTCGAAGACGAGACTTTTCAGAATTCGAAAATCTCTTTCCGCATTGTATCGATCGAGCGAATGGGATGAGAGATTTCGAGTTACTCGGGCGGTGAAAGCTACGTGTACTCCGGGACAAAGCAATAAATTGAAGGAAAGAGATTTTCCATATACTTTGGCAATATGATAGTCTACGCATACTTATGTTTATAAACACACACACACACACGCGCGTACACACACACACTAGCCGCAAGTGCACTCGTTCGCGGTCGACCCTTCTATCTTTCAACTGAATCTGAGAAACGCGCTTACAATATTTTCTCCTTAACTATCTCCTCTCGCCCCTCGCCACACACACACACACACACACGCACGCACACACACACACAAACACACACACACACACACACACACCTGCCTCTTCCCATCTAGCCTTTATTTATCATCGAGATCAAATTCTCAGCGGCTTTATTTATATCGTCACTCGGTATACGTGTAAAAAACAGCCTAGGATCGCACCTAGGCACTTTGCCGTCATTCTTCCATCCTTCCATGTTCATCATGCATTTGTGTCCCCGACGTGACTTCATCCCTCCCTCGCGATACCCAACTGTCTCCTTCTCGCTACGCTGATGGATTTATTCTTGGGCCCTCGGGCTTTCGCTTCTAAAGGGCCAAAAAACAAAGCCAAGGTAGATTGGATCGGGCCTCGCAAAGAGCCATTAGCGAGGGGAAGCCAGAGCTTACGCCCGCTATTCGTCTTCGGCTCATCCCACTTCATTTC